GCTTGATAATAATATGTATGACTTAGTAAATTGAAACATTCCTCCTTCTCTGGTCATTTTTTTTTTTACGTTTCTGTTATGCATACACAAATGTTGATGTATAACTTTATTATGTCAGGTAAAATAGCCTTTTATATACACATATATGGTTGTTTGCAGATGTTAGAAAGAAGCAGTGCAGTATTGCATCCTTATATACTTCACTGCATATTCCTGTTGTGCAGTAGTGCTGATTTTTCGCAGAATTCTCCCGTATCACTTAATGCTCAGGTAAAATTTCTTGTGATGTGTTTTTTTTTTCGTAGGATCTTGCAAATAGAAAGTTGTAATAAAAAGAAATGAAATAAAGAGAAAAAAGCAAAAGATTTTCATTTCTTTTCTTTCATTAGAAAATTTGTGGGTTCATTATAATGATAAGAAATATTTCGGTCCATTAATTCTTATACATTTCTTACCGTTACCACAGTTGGACTTCGTCGGAGCACGACAATTGTGGTAATTGAAGTTAGTGAAAGTTAGGGTTACATACCAACAATTAGCAGGCTCGCCTGATCACAATACTATATTAGTGATGTTACTGAAAGTTGTGCCAGCCCTTTTCGATTTTTCAAATTTCTGATTATTTCTTCTCAGCCTTTTTTCATGCAATGTTCAGAAATCAACAGAAGAAAATTTTCCAGCCTTTTTGTGAAAAAAAAAAAAATTAGGAAATGCGTGAAAGTGCGGAGATCATTATCATAAAAACACTTGGCCTGTACTATTCGCTCCCCCTCTCCCCTCCCCTCCCACAGCCCTCTGTCCCCCAAATGGCGCCTCATGGAAAAAGCGCACCTGTCGCATTTCAATTTTGACTTCATTCCCTCATCTGTATGGACATGTTTGAAATAAGCCGCCGCCGCCACCAGCACCCGACCAAATCGTCGCCTTCTAAGTGTCCTGAGTAAATTGCCGATTTAATCGGTGTCGGTGTGCAAAATTTTTATTATTCCCTCCCCCCCTTTTCCCCTCTGTCATGTGAAGTGTGTGCGTGATTTTCCACACCAATTAAGGACTTATGGTTGAGGAGGAAAATCCCTCGTCAAGCATCTATCTCTTTAAGAACCTCACTGGGGATAAGCCTCTT